TCTTTGCAATGTATTTTTAAATAAAAATTACTTGGGAGCAATGATGCATTTTTGGAAGGCAGAGAGTACAGAACCTATCACTGATTGCTCTGTTGAGTAGTACATACTTTCTTCCACTGGCTAAGAACCCATTAGTAAAATAAATATACTGAATTTAAAACCAATTTCGTGCCCCTCTTCATATGTCTGCAGAGGATGGAGAAGCTTCTTGGAAAACATGCCACATTTCTGAGACGTTTATCTGAGGTAGAAATTATCAAATGCTTCCTTATAATATACAGATCAGCTAAAGACAGTCAAATGATGGAAACTTCTGTGAAGAAAACTGGGAAAATAAGGAAAGGGAATCGAATTATTTTATGGACTGAGTTGGGTGCATCATTGGAAGACTTTTAGAAGACCCGAATTCAACCCTTGAAGCTCTTCAGTCAATCTCTTGCTTAGAGTTCTTCCTCACACTGATAAAGAAGGTTTGAGAGATATAGGGAGCAAATTAGGTAGATAGAAAGAAAGGAAAGAAAGAAAAGCTGGATAATGTGTTTCTTTCTTGCATCTGACTTACGATCTGGCAGCCATTAATTTCTATGGATATATTATTTTCTGCCACAAGAGAGCCAAAAGTTTGTGTATTTCTCTGTACAAGTTGGACCCTAGAGTACAATTCCTTCCTATAGTCTCCAAGGTCCTTATTATAAAGCTAGTATTTGACAAACTTTTCTTTTAAAAAAAACCAATGGTATTTTTCACATCCTCAACTTACATTCATTTAGTGACCGTTTGAAGGAACTTACAACTATTGTAGCATCCCCATGGTCTGAAAAAAGTGATCGTTATTCACATTTATGAGCATTGCAGCATCTCCATTGTTACACCATCAAAATTTGGAGGTTTGGCAACAAGCTTGTATCTATGACGATTGCAGTGTCCCAGAGTCACGTGATCAACTTTTGTGATTCATGACTCATTTTTCACATTGACCATTGATTCACCATTGAATCAAAATTCAGATGCTTGGCAACTGACTCAAATTTATAATGGTTGCAGTGTCCTGTGACCTTTTGACAAGCAAAGTCAATGGAGAAGCCAGACTGACTTTGCAACCATGTTACTAATGCAATAACTCTAGCAATTCGCTTAACAACAACGGTGGCAAGAAAGGTCATAAAATGAGGCAAAACTCACTTAACAACTGTCTCCCTTAGCAACAGAAATTTTTGACTCAGTTGTGGACATATAATTAGTCAAGGCCTACTTTGTACATTTGTTTTATGTACTTATGTACCAGTGGTGGGTTGCCCCCGGTTCGGACCAGTAGAAAAAACGGAGGGAGGCCATGCCCACTGCCCCGGATGTCGTAATCGGCGATCTGAGCATGCGCAGAAGCTTCCTGTTGCGAACCGGTAGTAAAGGTAAGTAGAACCCACCTCTGCTATGTACATGAAACAAGGACTACCTGTGTACATTTTAAAACTGTTCAAATAAAACCAATAGTGGCCTATACTATTTGTGACCATCAGCATATTGTGAAGCAGAGATTTTTTAAAAAAGTAGCATCAAGATATAAGAGCCATGGTAGAGCAGTGGTTAGAATGTTGTATTGCAGGCTAATTCTGCCAATTGCCAGAAGTTCGATTCTGACTGGCTCAGCCTACCATCGTTCCGAGGTGGGTAAAATGGGGACTCAGATTGTTGGGGGCAATATACTGATTCTGTAAACCACTTAGAGAGAGCTGTAAAGCACTGTAAAGCGGTATATAAGTCTAAGTGCTATTGCTATTGCTATAAATTCTCATCTTCCATAGTTTCAGGGATCTTGACTATCAGTAGATGACTCTCCAAACTTTCTCCAAGTCGCTGTCTTCCATGTTCGTTGGACTTCATCTCTTGGAGTTCTCTCCAAACAATTTACAATTTGTCCTTACAATTGAATTTTGACATCCCCAAATCAGGGGTTTGTTTTTTTCCTGCCAAGAGCAAGTTTGATGTAGTAATTAAGGCATCAGGCAAAAGAACTGGGAAATTGTGAGTTCTTGTCCTGCCTTAGAAATAAAGCCAGCTGGGTGATCTTGGGTGATCACTTTCTATCAGCCCTAGGAAGAAAGCAATGGCAAACCACATCAGAAAAACCTTGCCAAGAAAACTGCAGAGACTTGTCCAGGCAATCTCTGAGAATGAAATCCAATTGAACAAAGGTGGTGAGAGAGCTAGGAACAAAAGCTGACTTAGTTCAACTTTTGGATTTGGATTCCCTTAATTTTGAGACCCAATACTCTGCTTGTTCATATTAAGCCAGAATATCAGATTCTGGAACAGCTTTGTTCCCTATGCCATCCGTCTGGTAAACTCACAGATTCATTTTTCTCACCATGTACATGTATACATCTGAACTAGACTGTGCTTTTTCTCTATGTCATAAAATATATGTGGGTACATGCATAAATTTGTATTCATTTATTGATTTATTTTGTCATGTTTATGTCTTTTTTTAAAAAAATTGATTTATATGCCGCCTTTCTCCGGAGACTCAGGGCGGCTTACAATGTGCTAAGCAATAGCCTTCATCCTTTTATATATTTATACAAAGTCAGCTTATTGCTCCCACAACTGGGTCCTCATTTTATCTACCTTAGAAAGGATGGAAGGCTGAGTCAACCTTGAGCCTGGCGAGATTCGAACCTGCAGTAATTGCAGGCAGCTGGTCTCAATAACAGGGTGCTTTAGACCACTGTACTACCAAGGCTCTTATGTAGTGTATATTGGAGGTGGTGATCCTTTGAGAGCCATATGCAACAAAATTTCATTTTAACGTATACCAATTAGTGACAATAAAGTTATTATTCTATTCTATTCTATTCTATTCTATTCTATTCTATTCTATTCTATTCTATTCTATTCTACTCTACTCTACTCTACTCTACTCTACTCTACTCTACTCTACTCTATTCTATTCTATTCTATTCTATTCTATTCTATTCTTCTATGCTATGCTATGCAATGCAATGCTATCCTATGCTATGCTACGCTATGCTACACTATGCTACGCTACACTATTCCATTCCATTCATCATTTCACTAAACCAGGGGTCTCCAACTTTGGCAACTTTAAGACTTGTGGACTTCAATTTAAGGTTGCCAAAGTTGGAGACCCCTGTACTAAACTGTTGCAATAACTGGTCCTTGGTGCTCTCTGTGCTCGGTTGTTTTCTTGCAGATGTTTCTTTACCCATACTAGGCAGTGGTGGGATTCAATCTGCGTAACAACTGGTTTGCTGAGCGCATGCTGAAGCCAATTAAGCCGCCCCCTCAATCTCCGTCTGCTGTAGCTCTGACTCATCCACATCCGCAGATTCAGGTTCCGACGGGGGCATTACAGGTGTAGTAAAAATATATTATGATGATTAGTATGATGAGATTGCATCCTGTTATGTTTATATTAAGCAGAGACAAAAAAAAAACCCTACAGTATCCAGGAGATAGATGAATGCAAGTAATATGTTAAAATATTAAAATATTATTGAAACGGAAGAAAAAAGAAAAGAGATGGAAAAAAAAGTTTCATCTTATTTGTAACCTGAAATAAAGTTAATAGGGTTTTTTATTTCTTTTTTTTTTAATGGTCAACCACAAGTAATCCTCCTCTTACGACTGCAACGGAGCCCAAAATTTCCCAAGACAATGGTTAAGTGAGTTTTCTCCCATTTTACGAATTTTCTTGCCACCGTTGTTAAGTGAAGTTCAGGGGTGAAATGCTCCCGGTTTGGATCTGATCGCCTGATCTGGTAGCGATGGACACGGGTGGTTCAGAGAACAGGTGGCAAAAATCCCTGCCCTCCCCCCCCCCGCCCAGCTGAGCCACACAATCATCCGAGGCTTTTTTTTTTTTACTTTTAAAAGCATTTTTTCTATAACCTCTTCGGCCGAAAAAATGCTTTTAAAAGTAAAAAAAAAAAAGCCTCTGATGATCGCGCAGCTCAGCTGGGATGGTCAAAGGCATTTAAAACAAAAAAAAACCCCTTTTTTTCTTTTAAATGCCTCTGACGATCCAAGCTGAGTTTTTTAAAAAGCCTCTGCCGATCAGGCAACTCATCTTGGATCATCAGAGCCTTTTGAAAGCATTTTTTTTACAACCTCTTCGCTGAATGGTTAAAAATAGTTTTAAAAGTAAAAAAAAAAAAATTGGCCATGCCCACCCAGTCACATTACCACCTCCCCCCCCACCAAGCCACGCCCACAGAACTGGTAGAAACAAATTTTAGATTTCACCACTGGTGAAGTTACATGCTTGTTAATGAATCTGACTTCCCCATTGATGTTGCCTGTCAGGAGATCACGAAAGGTGATCACATGACCCCTGGGACACTGCAACCATCACAAATACATGCCAGTTGACAAGCCTCTGAATTTTGATTAGGTGACCATGGGGATGCTGTAATGGTCTTAAGTGTGAAAAATTGTCATTAGGCATTTCTTTTCAGTGCTGTTGTAACTTCAAATAGTTACATACTAAATGAATGGTTGCAATGGTTGAGGACTACCTGTATATACAAAAAACAAATATTTGACCAGAATCAGAAGCTAAACAACAAATTTACAGTATGTGGTTATGAACATGAAGTGGCTTACAGTTTAGATGAAAACTGTTCTCCTATTTGAATTTCTACCTATTTCCATGTACCGTATTTTCTCCGAAAATAAGATCCAAATGGAAAATAAGCTGTAGCATGATTTTTCAGGAGCCCTATCCCAAAAATAAGCCCCATCTAAGATCATCAGCCGGACAGACACATATTAATAAGATATAACTGGAAAACAAGCCCTAATGCATTTTTGGAGCAAAAATTAATATAAAACCCAGTCTTATTTTCGGGGAAACACAGGTATATACACTGCTCAAAAAAATAAAGGGAACACAAGCAGAAGACATCCGAGATCTGAATCAATGAAATAGCCTTATTAAATACTTTGTTCGTTACATACAGTAGTTTTGTGGTCCCTTTAGGTGTTTGAGCAGTGTATAAACTACAGTATGTAAAGAACAAAGTATTTAATAAGGCTATTTCATTCATTCAATCTCAGATGTCTTCTGCTTGTGTTCCCTTTATTTTTTTGAGCAGTATATATAAACTTGAAGCTTTAAAAAAAGGAAGATTAAAACACTAATACAAATTAATATAAAATAAGAGAAATGGGGAAAATATCCGATCTATTTCCCATCACTGTCAACAATTATTTCCTTGCTTCTCAGTTTGCTCATGGCCATCTTCACATCTTTGTTTCTCAAAGTGTAGATCAAGGGATTCAACATAGGAGTGATAATATTGTACAGGAGGGAGACCAGTTTGTCCACTGAGAAAGTGGAGAAAGGACGAGCGTAGATGAAGATGCAAGGTCCAAAGAACAAGGTCACTACAGTTAGGTGGGAAGCACAGATGCTGAGAGCTTTGCGGCGCCCCTCAGGAGAACGTATCTTTACCAGGATGGTGGTGTAGGAAGTCAACAAGATGATAAAACAGCTAGTGGAGATAAGGCCACTGTTGGAGACCATAAGGAGCTCAATGACATATGTGTTGGTGCAAGCCAGTTTAATGACCGGTGGAACATCACAGAAGAAGTTGTCCACACAGTTGGGTCCACAGAAGGGTAACCTCATGGTGAGGATAGTCTGGACTGTAGAATGGATTAGACCACCCATCCAGGAGGCTGCTACAAGCCAACTACAGAGCTGCCTATTCATGATACTGGGATAATGCAAAGGCTTGCAAATGGCCACATACCTGTCATAGGCCATGACGGTGAGGAGAAACATCTCCGCGGCACCTACAAAATGGAGAAAAAAGAGTTGGGCCATGCAGGCATCAAAGGAGATGCTTCTCTTCTCAACCAAAAAGTCCATCAGCATTTTGGGAGCTGTGACAGTAGAATAGCAAAGATCCAGGAAGGACAGATTCCCTAGCAGGAAGTACATGGGGGTGCGTAATTGGGGAGCAGACCCCACTGTTAACATTATGAGAGTGTTTCCTACGATGGTGGCTGTGTAGACTAGGAGAAAGACCACAAAAAGAGCAATTTGGGATTGCCATGTGGGAGAAATGGCCGCCAACAGGAATTCATTGATTCTTGTGCCATTCTTTTTCTGGAAATCCATCTTATCGGCAGTTGGAGGTTGAGTGGTGGTGGAAGAGAACAGATTCATTCTACGAGAAAACAGAATTTTTTCTTCAGATATGATTTGCTTCCAAGAGAAAGGAAAGCCCAAACAAAAAAATAATATCATTATTAATAAGATGTTGAGACTCTAAGAAAGAGTGCAGAGAAGAGCAATAAAGATGATTAGGGGACTGGAGGCTAAAACATATGAAGAATGGTTACAGGAACTGAGTATGTCTAGTTTAATGAAAAGAAGGACTTGCCACAAAGAAGAGGGAATCAATCTACTCTCCAAAGCACCTGAGGGCAGGACAAGAAGCAATGGGAGGGGAACTAATCAAGAAGAGAAGCAACCTAGAACTAAGGAGAAATTTCCTGACATTTAGAACAATTAATCAATGGAACTGCTTGCCTCCAGACGTTGTGGGTGCTTCATCACTGGAGGTTTTTAAGAAGAGATTGTACAGCCATTTGTTTGTAATGGTATAGGATTTCCTGCCTATGTAGGGGGTGGACAAGAAGACCTTCAAGCTCCCTTCTAACTCTGTTATTCTCTTATTTCTCATTCCCGTAGCTGCTATCTATTTCTGTCTCTCGGTAAACAAACTTTCCTCAACAAGAGTCTTTTCAAATATTTTGGGATTACAATCCCAAGAATTTGGAGTCAAACATGTAAATATGTATGACTCTTAATGTTGATGTATGAATATCAAACTCACATTCATACCTAAAATTCAAAATATGTTTAAATTAGTAAGGTAAACGTAAGGGTTCCCCACCGACTCTAGGGGGCTATGCTCATCTCCTGTTCAAAGCTGAAGAACCAGCGCTGTCTGAAGATGTCTCCATCGTCATGTGGCCGGCAAGACTAAACACCAAAGGAGCACAGAACGCTGTTACCTTCCCACCAAAGGTGGTCCCTATTTTTCTACTTATTTAAACTAGTAGAATAATATCAAAAATGAGGAAAGTCATGTTAATATTAATAATTAGGTAATAAATCTCTAGCTCTGATTCAGTTAAATTCTTGTAATACTTTCTAATAACTAGAGTTACTAAGTAGAGTTGCCCACTTTCAATATTATTGTTCGCAATAATTAATTGAAACATTACAAAAAATAGGGATAATAAACAGATTAAAGCTTTGCATATCAATAGGAGTGAGCCTATCAGCCTTTTGGTATAATGTAGCCATAATTTCTCCTTTTTGAATGTCTTTTTATTGATTTTTATTAACCCATACAAAAGAGAACAAAAGACGAAAATAATAGTGATTGCGATGTATGCATTGTTAAAGAGAAAAAAAACAACAACACAAAAATGCTTTAACAATAAAAGTGAAAAAATATGACAAAGAAAAAAGAAAATATAATAACGTACTTGTAGAACTGTAATAGTTTATTGTTATAATGCTATATTCATATTATAAGGGCAACATTCAGGAAGATCTAATAAGAGAGTAGCAGACGCACCAAGTAGTTCTTCAAAATCTAAGTTCTTATAGTTTAATATTGGTTTGAAAGATAGAGAAAAAAATAATTTCTATGATTGGTATACTTAAGGTGTCAATACTAATTTCCTCTTCGGAGACGGTTACATTTTAAAACAAATTCTAGAAGTTGAATTATGTGCTGGTCATTCAAAATATTAAAAGAAAATTAGTTAAACCAAAGAAACAATGGCAAAGAATTGCCCAGTTGATAAATCGAATTGTTTCTATGAAAGATCATAGAATCAGAAAGCTGAAAAGTACTAGAGGTCATCTAGTCCAATCCCCTGCTCAGAGACAAATGATCATCCAATCTCTGTTTGAGGAACTTCAGTAAAGGGGAATTTATAATTTCATCTGGCAGTTGACGGATAGCTTGTATAGTTCTGACATCTAGCCTAGTAATTTTAATCCTTTAGTTCTTGTAATTTTAACCAACCAGTTCTGGTTTTTCCCTCTAGGACAATGGACCTTTTCTGTGTGGCAAATTACACAAATGCTTATAAAATGTTGAAAAGTTAGTGGGTAGTGATCTGGATTATAAAGATCCATAATAATGTCAGACTTTGCACTTTACAAAACTGTAATGCAGGAATGTTTCTGTACTCTTTGCAGCTATTTTAGGCCACCTTACTTTTAACAAACAAAGAAATAAATTAAAATATGAAGGATCTTCAGGTCAAGTTTAATGTCAATGGACTCAACCTACACACACACACACACACACACACACACACACACACACACAAAATCTGGCCTGTTTAGATTTTCATGAAGACAAACTGGTTCATGAATTTGGGAAATTAACAATCTGGTCTAATGGTTAAGGCATCAAGATAGAAAGCAGTAGAGTATAAATTCTAGTCTTGCTTTAGGTATGAAAGCCAATTGGATGACTTTGGGCCAGTCTCTCTCAGCACAACTCACCTCATGGTGTTATTGTTGTGAGGAAAATTGGAGGAGGAAGGAGTATTTGGTATGTCTGCCACCTTGAGTTATTTAAATAATAATAATAAAGGCAGGATAAAAAAATATAATAGTAAATATTATTATGAAATGGAAAGTAAGCACTTATAAAAAGAACAATTATGTGGCCCAATTTGGATCTCTCTCTCACACACACACACCAAAACATATGCAGTGCAGTAGAAGGTAAGATACTCACTTCCCTTAATGCTCATTTTCTTTTAAATAATGGTTGGGCGCTGTAAATAAAAATAAATAAGCAAATAAAAATATGTGAACTTCAAAGATATCCAACTCTTTCTCATTTTGTGGTAAATCTCCCTCCCTCTGTTATGTTTTTTTTCCCCATTGATTTTTATTAAACCATTTTCTTCACTTTATATCACAGTTTCTATCTTTACAACACTACTTTACCGGTATACATTCATATTATATACACTATTATGTATACAATATGTAGTTGTTATTCTGAATATTTTTTTATATTTTATGTTTTGTAACATCCTATTATGATACTATATATTCTTCATCAATCCTTATCTTTATACTTATTACTATTTTCTAGTTCGTTAATCGTTTTTTCTTGTTACTTTCCTAATCTTTGCATCTACTATCAAGCCAGTTATACCATACATTCCAAATCAAATAATATTCCATTTCTCCTTTATCTTTTATTTCCATTGTCAGCCTATCCATCTCTGGGTAATCTAATATTTTCTTTATCACAATTTCTTCAGCTGGTATATTTCCATTTTTCCAATTTCCTCTGTTATGTTCATTGGTGGTAGGGGAAGGTTTTTCAGATTTAGGGGTTAAACAGGAAGGAGACAGATAGAGAAGGACAGGGAGAAAAAGGGAAGAAGAGAAAAGAGAGATGATGGAGAAAAAACAGGAGAGAGTGGAGGGAGGGAAGGGGGGGAGAGAGAGAAAGAGAGAACACCTGTGGTAAGACGAAAAAACCCCCCAGAATTGATATAATAGCCAAAATGTATTCACATTTAACCCCAATTTACCTGTGAATTCTATGTTTTGGAGAGTGAACATAGGCAAGAACTGATTCTATCAAGTCCTACTTATTAGATAGAGAATACTGCAATAAAATCTTTTATTCCTATAACATGGATTCAATAGTTGAAAAAACAATTACAGTATCACTTCTATGTGGTTTGCAAAAATCTCTAAAGCCAGATTTATCATAAATGTTGCAGAGTTCAGATTCCAATTTTTATGCATGTTTTCTTTGAAGAAAAAATTAAGAAGGTTAAGATTATTCTACATACTTGCCACTGTCAAATCACATCTTAAAATGAGGTCTTTGGGGCATCAGTGAATGCTTTTGAATTCGCCCTGACTCTAATCATAAAACTGGCAAATGAAAGTATGGGAAAAAAAATAACTAATGGATCTCTTTGGATGTCAGCAAGACAGTTGGGAGTTCTCATTAAAGACCTGAGTAGATTGATTGCTTGATCAATCAGTCCCAGAGGAGATGATGACAACATTATAGTCAACTTACATTTTAACACAATTAAGTTAAAGCTAGTAGAGTATTTTGGCCCATTGAAAACAAATTCTTATTTGTTCTTTTGCTTGCTTACTTGTTTATATGTCGCCTGTTCTTCTGTTATACATCAAATGCATCAAATCAAATTTTGTTACAGTCATAGACCACCATATGGTTATAAGTACTGTAGATCTAGGAATATACACCTTTGATCATAATCATAATAATGATTATGATCACAGCTACATTTTATCATATGTAGTGGACTTGTGTTAAAGCAAAAAAAAAAATGGGCAAAAATACATAAATGGCTAGAAAACATAATAGGGAAACATTTAGATTTTAAACCTGAACTGTTTTTATTAGGGATAATATGAATAAAAAAATAATAAGAAAAGTATTTATTTAATATTACATGTCCTAACAGCAGTGAGGATTATCTTGCACAATGAAGAATCCACAACCTTCATAGAATGACTAGTTCTCTATTATTCAGATCTTATCACCATAGTGTTTTTCTTTATATTAAAACAAAATCTAAATAGTCACAACTTTTAACCATTAGTGCTATCCTAACTTTTTGGCTCCATAGAAGATGGTTTTGTAGCTTCTCTTGATAAATCTGAACATAGCTTTTATATTGTTAGCCCTTTGAGGTAGCCCAGACAAGAAGCATAGACAAGAGTATGAACTCTTTGAACCTTTATTGTAAGGTTATATTAACAGAATCTTGCAAGTCTCAAAGTATTTCTCCCTCCTTTCCTTTTAGTGTCTTTAGGAAACTAGGGAGGGTCTCTTTTGAAATGTTTCCCATGCCATCTTCTCTTCTGTGGGTTGAGACATCTTTAAATGTTGGTTGTCCAGTCTAATACTCTCCCTCCTGATCATTCCTACATACTATGATGCAACTCTCCCTCTCTTCTTTTGAGATTGAACATCTCATGTTCCTTCAACCTACCTTCATTGGATTGATCCTTAAATTCCAGTATCATTTTCACAGCTATCCTCTGCATATGTTCTAATCTATCAATGCTCTTCT